TCTTGACAGCCCTTTTAAAGCTGTCTAAGGTCATCAAGTGACAGAGCTCATCCGGCAGGCCATTCCATAATCTGGGAGCAGTCATTGAAAAGGCCCTCTGGGAGGTTGCTGATAGTCTGGATTTTTTCACAAGTAGCAAATTCATCCCAGAGGACCTAAGTGCTCAGGGAGGATTATATGGGAGGAGGCAGTCTCAGAGATAAGTTGGACCCAAGCCATTTAGGGCTTTATAGGTGATAAGCAACACCTTGTATTGGGCTCGGAAACTAATAGGCAGCCAGTGAAGAGACTTCAATATAGGTGTAATATGGACTCTTTTAGATGTGCCAGAGACCAACCTGGCTGTCATGTTCTGAACTAATTGAAGTTTCCGGACCAAGCACGAGGGTAGCCACACGTAGAGCACATTACAGAAATCAAGATGGGAGGTTACCAGAGTGTGTACCACAGTTTCGAGATCCCTTGCTTCCAGGAAAGGGCGCAGCTGGTGTATCAGCCGAAGCTGATAACAAGCACTCCTGGCCATTGTGTTCACCTAATTACTCATCTGAAGCGACGAGTCCAGGAGGACCCCCAGATTGCGAACACAGTCCTTCACGGTGAGTGTGACACCTTCCAGGACTGGAGGTTGTATTCCAATTCCTGGTTTCGGGGCCGCTACTGTAAGTACCTCCGCTTTCCCTGGATTCGGTCTCAATCTGTTTTTCCTCATCCTGTCCATTATGGCCCTAAGACAGTCATTGAGAAGAGAGATGCCATCGGAAGCCGAGGCTGATGATCTAGACATGGAGAAATAGATCTGGGTGTCATCAGCGTATTGATAACACCCAGCCAATGTCTCCGAATGAGCTCTCCCAGCGGCTTCATATAGATGTTGAATAACATCAGGGATAGAATGGTGCCTTGTGGGATGCCACACCTAAGCTCCTAACTAGCGGAGCTGCTGTCCCCGAGCCACATCCTCTGGGATCTACCCGAGAGGAAGGAATGGAGCCATCGCAAAGCAGCGCCTCCGATTCCTAACCCCCTCAGGTGATCAAAGAGGATGTCATGATCGATTGTGTCAAAAGCTACTGAGAGATCTAAGCACACCAACAGGGTCACACTACCCCTGTCGATGCTCAAACGGATGTCGTCAGTCATAAATTTATTGTATTATATCCTGCCCTTCTCACAAAATGGGATTCAAAGCAACTACAGGAGAAATCACCAAACAGAAGGATAGAAATTGAAGTTGTATCAGACAGCTGTTCTTATGTAGTGTGGCTACACCCCAGTCATTTGTCCTCTACATTCATTCATCTAACTCCGTGCTGCTTTAACTAACTGATGTAGGGGACAGGCAATTTCACTTCCAAATGTGCCAGAGACCAGAACCATATTTGTGATCATTAGCTACAATTCTTTCTTTCCCAGAAACTCTTCAGGGACCAGCAGATGATGATATGTGGACCAAAACCATCCCATACACCACCATTTTGAGTACTGTTCTAATTACTGCCCTGTTTCCAAATTGTTTTTGAGGAAAGTTGGCATAATTTACACACAAGCAATCATATATCTGGACCTCTGCCTGTCTGTGAATGGATGCACTGTTCCATCCAGAACACTGATTTCTAACAACCACCAGGGAGCATTTCAGGAAAAGACCTTTCCAAAATTTTGACATGACAGCCTCCACTTTAAAAATGGGATCTTGTTTTGAAAAGTAGGGGAATCTCTGAGGGTTTTGGGGTTGTTGTTTTTTAGTTTGTATCTTCATCTCCCCAAAACAGTAGCACTTCAAACTCCATTCACTTGGCGGCCTTCCCAAGATTTACCCTGGCCCAGGCCAGACTTTTCAGGGTCAGCCTTGTCCTCATCATGCCTAAGTTGTCCTAAAGGGTGGTTTGGAGTGTTATTTTAATAATTCAATTGAGAAATAGGGATAGAAAGTGGAAGTTGAACCATTTATTAATAATATAAAAAGGAGAAGAGTGGGGAGGGAAATCTAGCAGCACCTTTAAGACTTGACGGATTTTTATATTGGCATGAAGTTTCATGATATC